TATTGTTTAACATTGAATTAAAATATCACATTTTCATCATGTACATTTAACAAAAGTCTTATGCAAGTTACACCATGCGTGCGTGTGTTCATGAACTCATGTAATGAAACAAAATAAATGGTAGGCTAGGCACATTTATTCTTGTACTTAAAACAGCAGAATTACATATTTGGCATATCTTACCTTAACTTCTAGTGGAATCTCATTGGATCCTTTTAAAGAAGTTTTCCGTCGTAGGTCTTGAACGAGGGCTTCGAAAGTCACTTTGCTTAACCGAAATCGTTGTATAAACAAAGTGCCCGACATTTCATGTATTGTTTCGATATACTGACGATATAAATCTCTTTGCCGGCGTTTTAACCACACTTCTTCGTTATGACCGGACCGCAACATATTTAAGGTATACATTTTATACATTTTAAATGCTAAAAAGAAAATATAAATAGTCTAAAATCAACGCGAATTAACAAAACACTTCTGTCTTATAGCAGCTGTGAGCTGATTCTAAACTTTAAAGTTATAGACGCCACTTTTTTAGCGTTAACTCAAGGGTCTCGCCGTTCGTTTAGATAGCGTTAAAGAACTTAGATTTGAATTCTCAAGCGCTTGTCAAACGTGCAACTTGGCTACCATTTTGTATGAGATCTTGTGATCCACATTGTAGAATCGCTCAGTTCGTTTCTATTTTTAGAACGAACTATGTACCTTGTAAACTTGGCTACGAATTTTCAATTCGATCGTTTTGACCACGTGACATATCGTTCAAAATACGTAATGCCCATACATTTCATTAGTTTTCTAAATCGTTAACGATTGTAGATAGTCAACATGGCTAAGCCCCTAGGTATCTATTCTAAATGAAAACCCGCGTTTAGTTATTTTATACATTTTAGTGCCTGGAAGTCGGTTTTTTTTAAGGTTTTATTTAAGTAACATACCAAATTTCATGAAAAAAAAAACAGAACTCAGTTAAAATGCTCTAAAACATTCGAAAACATAATATTCTGTTTATAACATAGCTGTATACGTCGAGTAGATACACAACAAACGAAGCTACCAGACAATGACTTCGTTAGCCGCGGAACTTTACCCGAGTGTCACTTGATGTAAACATCGCTTAAACCGTCCCTATTTCCTTTCTCGTGGGTGTAAGGTTCAAATCCGCATTTACAAACTCGTAGTTTCAAGATGAGGGCGTCTCTAGTAACGTTTGAGCTCTCGTTTTATATAGCATCACTAATTAGTATAGAAACGAGTACGGCTATTAATTTTGTACCTAAATATAAAAATTTGTAATTGACATTGATAGCTGATTTTTAATTGTTACTAGTTGTGGTCCGCAGCTGCACTCGTGTGGTGCTTAAAAAGTGGTTTTATATAGGTATTAGAAAAAAAGCTATCTTCATACGAATGTTGTCCCAAACCCACAACTGTTACAAGTTACAGAGTGAAGATGTAACAAACATCCTTACAAACTCGCATTGATAAATATTAATGTGATTATTAGACTTATTTCATGTGTTTGTCTGTCGATCGCTTTGTTGTATTTTCGTGGTTAAACTGCTAAATGATTTTTTAGCTTAGTTTAGTCTGGTTACTTAAATAAACACATACTTATTACTTACTCCCTAAAAATGGAGGAATTTCCATATTATTTATAGTTTTAATGAGATAAGTTTAGAGGTTACATTGATTTCGATTTGGTTAATTTTCAAAAATAATTGATTTCCTTATATACCTACTAGATATACTAAATTATGTATTGCAAATCAAGTAACATTTTGACCAAGTTATGTAAATTCAAATTTTAATTTTGTATGTATAATTAAGTATATTTGTAATTTTCTTTATTGTAAACATTAATTAAATACGTCTTTTGTAAATTCTGACCAGAGGGTCTACCATCAACACTTATTGCGACCCAATTTACGATGTACAATAATTGGTTTCACTATTTCGTGTTATGAGTTTCATAAGAAATTCAGTTTAGGTCGAAGCCTAAACAAAATCTAAAATGAACCTCCAACGTTAATGTCGTTCATTCATTTCGCATCATTTCGGTTCATTTATTATCCAACTTACAACATTGTTGATGCTACGAAAATTAGCGATTTAATTTAAGAACCAAAACTAAAACGTGAGTTCTTTGAAAGTTAGTTGAGTTTTTTGAAATACCTACTTAGATGTTATAAATAACACATACGTACATATCTAATATATAATACTTATTACATATATTATAATTACATAACTTTCCAGAATCAAGTGATAAACAATGCGTCAATATAACGTGAAACTAAAATTTATAGATATGTATAAAAGAAAACTTAAGTTAGAACTAATTGTGTATTGTTTATATTGATAATTATTTTAATTACTCACTGCTACAATTCTATAGTAATTAGTACTTCATAAGCGATAGGTACCCTATTTAGAAGCCATTACATTGAGAGACTGTGTGTGATTGTTATCAATCGAATGAGAATGTTTGTATTGCTTCGTCTTTGTTTATAAATTATATTTCGCAGCTTTATTCTTTGCAATTTAATTTACAGTTCGTACCTACCCCCACGCGACAGCCATCCACGGATATTTAGAGAGCAGTAAAAATAATTTTTGACTACCCTCCACAAAGTTACCTCACTCTGCTATATGATATCATACTCTCTGCAATTATATTTATTTTGTTTTACTTATGCTTATTTTTATTACATTTTCTTATCGTTTCTTTGCACTTTCTCTTTCTGTCCCGCTTCTTAACACTATTTCCCACATACATGGGTTGACTGGGAGAGATCTCTTATAGAGATAAGTCCACCTTTGTCCACGTCATTTTTTATGTATTTTTTTATTACTTGTTTAGTGCAATAAAGAATGTTATATATTATATGTCGACCTTTGGTAGACTAATTTAATAAAAAAACGAATAGTTAATATTTTTTGACAATTGACGAAAAATACAACTGAAATGAGAACCTTCCTCGTACATTTTGAAGCCAGTCAAAAATAACACAATAAATTAATTAAAATTTAAATTTTATAATTAAATTGTAGATTATTCCATATTTAGCTTTCTAAGGGACTTGTTAAAAATATTTTTTGATTGAATTACAAATGATGCCATTGTTTTGATTTATGGAATAACCAGCGACCCACCCTCACTTATATTCGGCCCTCATAGCCCCGTGACAAAGACTCGTAAAACTTCTATTTAATCCTCTTTCCTTTCCCGGGATAAAATCTTTATTAGACTATATCAAGTGATACAGTAGTAGAGAGTTCTACCGAATACTATACTAGAGAAAGTAGTTTTGATTAATATCGCGTTGACACTTCAATTTTATTGATAAAGTATAGATATCCCATTGAGATACAAAAACATAAATACCTAGACATTTCCTAAAAAAATACATCCCTTCAAAAAGTTTTTGAAGAGATATTTATTTAAAAAACTAAAGAATAAAGTTCAAACATCGAAAGTTCTTATTGTCTAAACACAGATTCAAACTTACGCACACCACATAAAATACTTTTTTAGCGAAAAACGTGTTTTAATTTTGTCATCCAAAAAGTAATGAAGAGATTTGAAAAAAGCACACAATTTCAAATTGTGCACTTTTTTTTGAGGACACTTTTGAGACGCTAGTTGTGTACCAATGAGATATCTATATTTAGGTATAAACTAGCATTAAATTAAGTATTATTCCTTCTTTGAGCTTGGATAATATGTAAGTATTTGATATTCATATGGTGTTAATATTTTTGTGTTGGTGCCTGGCGGAGGTATAAAAAAAAATCTTCTATTTAATAGTTTAAAATTAATCCTGTCTTTTACTGGTATAATTTTAAATATCTACAGCCAATCTCCAACGTGATTCCAGCATTGAACATGACATTGCCAAAATTCTTTAGATTTCATATTTTGGAAGGTAGGCATATTTTGTTAAGAATTTTTCAGCAAATTACTATTAGCGCAAAAACAATCAACAGTACGATTATTTATATTCTTACGTACGAGTATTATGCCAAAACTTTACTTTATCAATAATATGTATTACGTGTATGTATACAACTTCCCGATTTGAACCGGATATTATTAAATTTTTCATTGGTTTTTTTTGTGGGACCCTATTTTTTTCTAAAATAAAAGTAGCCTAAGTTACTCCTTATTGCATCAGCTATCTGCCAGTGAAAGTCCCGTCAAAATCGGTCCAGCCATTTCAGAGATTAGCCGGAACTAACAGACAGACAGAAAAAAATGGAATTTTTTTGTTTTGGTATATGTACCGTGTATACATCCATATACATTTGATAAAAATGTTATTTTGACATTACAAACAGACACTTCAATTTTATTTATCTGTATAGATATTTAAAGATAATAACATCATCGTATAATTTGTTGTTTAAATGAACTTTACTTTGAACCTGGAGTTATCAGAAATAAGGTTATTTATGGATAACGCTTATCTATTTAATAATATAAAACAAATTCGCTATTTCTTTGTTTATGTATACAATAAATGTTTGTTTGAATTAAATCAGATATCGCATAATTTCTTCTGGAAAGTAATCTAGATATTTGAATTTACCAAACACTAACATATGTAATTATAGTAACATATGTAATAATATAGTGACATATGTAATAATATAGTAACATATGTAATTGTCGCGCGAAATGCGTATAGGGAGAGCCTCCGTAAACGAAGTTGGGTCGCTAATAGCGGTATAAAATATTTTTTTATTCATTTAATTAATGTTTACGTCAAAGTTCTGATGGAGTTATTACGATATCATATTATATACAGCTTATTAATTTTATTAGCCTCCTTAGCAAGAATTTCTTCAATTGACATAAATCGACATAAATTGACATAATAATAGATTGTGAATATGAATGAAATTGATTATGAAATAAAAAAAATATATGAGAGGTATAAAAATCTTTAATATTAAAAGTACATTCTTCTAAAAATACATTTTCAGTACTTCGTTTAGTATTTAGAACAATTAAAATTATCGATAAATTTAGTCCATTGTATGCTAAATTTGGTTAGCGCATTGGCTTTTGCGTTTTCGTCTAATGCACTGTATTTTAAAGAATTAATTGCTAATTGTTTTAACAGACTCAGATCTGATAGACGACTGGCAACGCCAACAAAAGCAACATAAAAATCGTCAGACAATAGATCTGCTTCCCAAATACCTGGATCATCACTAGAAAGCACTACAGGTGCCCCATGAGCTAGAAGAATACTAAGTGGATGATTGCGAACATCGCGCACTAAAGATAGTACTGAATTTGAAATTACGTTAACTTCTACAGCAATATCTTTCTCAATCACCTCCTTTAAAAGAATAGGATGTTTTGGAAGAGCATAGGCATGACCGATTCGTTTCGCGCCTAATAATATGGCGTCTATTAGGTTTTCATCCGTTAATGTGCCATACCAATTTGTTTCTCCTGCGTGGAAAAAAAAGTTTAAATCCTTGGATGCTGCTGTTAATTGTGGTATAAATTCTATTAAGGGATTTCCAGGATCTTCCTGGCCGACTAGATCAAAGCCCGCAAAAATATCGGGCATGTCAGCTTTTATCGCTCTTGCTAACCGTAAATATTCATCTAAAGTGAAACGTTCTATTTTCCTCGAAGGGGCATATATAAGTTTGGCTCCAATAAAATCAGGGTGGTCTTTTTTGAATTTTTGAATAATTTTTTTATATGTCTTCGCTGTGATAATCGGATCATATTCTGTTCCATCTAACTCGTATAAATTTGGAAGAATGCTTCGTATTTCGAGGTACATTACATTGCTTTTTCTAAACTGTTGAAGAACTTCATAGAAATACTGTTCCCATACAGGTCTAAATGTAAGTATTTGGCTAGCCCTTCGAAAATAGTTCATAAAAACTCCCCAAGACTCTTTAATGCTAGGATATGAAGTGTCAGGATTATTAACACACATAGTAAAGTGAGATCGCAATTCAGCATCAAACTTTGTTCTGTTTGAGATTTTTCTAATCTCACTTACTAATTGCCAGCTACTTCCGCATGGAAAGTTGGGTATTTTATTAGCAAATTTAAAACGTATATCTTTTTTATCATAGCACATATACAGATCGTCCGAGTAGGTCAAATCGACCATGTAGTCTGGTCCCAAAATGCCCATATCGTGAATATGTAGAGCTGCTCCTTTTGGCATATCATTTATAATCTGATACACTTTTGAAAACCGTAATTTATCCTTGTAGGAAAAAAAATGTCTAGAAAGATTATAAAATTGTGGATTATTAAAACCATAGTCCACTTCGCGAAACTTGTGCTGCATTAGACAGTCATTGACGGTTGTTTCTTTGTCTGAGAGCCGTAAGTTTCCCCCCACAGATAAGAGTGCCTCATCTCGTAGGATCTTGGCTCGTTTCACTTTGTAATCGTCGATTGTTGCGTGGCAGGCGGTGAATAGAAACACATATGGAAGTATAGAACGCATTTCTGAGGGGCGCGCTTCGTCTTGCCCGCTCCGACACTGAGCTGACACTGAATACGGGTTTATTGTTTAGAGCGAATGACCTGATATTAATAACATCTACAGTTAATATCGTTGTAATAGAACGGAAACCTTGTTATTATTCATTATGTTTCAATTTAACGGTGTACTTTTTCCTGCTTTGCAAGCTCAATAAAACATGCAAAATATAAGTATAAAGTTATCTACCAAAAAATTCCAAAGTAAAAGTATGCCAAAAAAATATTTTTATCTAAGGTTAGGACATAGTTTTGATAATAATGAATAGGATTAAAAGAAATAACAAACGATTGCCATTTGTTATTAAGCAATTTATTATTGTAAACATAAAAAAAAACCAATAGTGGCAAAGTGTTCCTTCCTGACTGTCACTACCTGACGTACCAAAAGGCGCAGGTAAAATTTTGTACTGCGTGCAGATGCTTTATTGTTTAAGAAAGAATTTAAAGATGTTTGATGTGGTCTTCTTCAAGCCAATCACGGCGTTTAGTTTAGAAAAGATTGTACACGTTTGCATATCTTGAAAATGAAGGTGTGTGAAAATGATAGATTATAAAAATTAAATGAACATCTTAAGAGTATATTTTCAATTTTCTATATTTTTTAATGTTAGTGATTGTTATTAGTTAGTAGTTAATCTAAATCTTCTTAAAATTTCATACATGTTTAATTTATTTATATCAATTAGCGTCGTTGTGAGTGAAAGCTGAGCAGTTGTTTTTATTTATAGTATACTAGCGACTCGCCCTCGATCTGCTCGGGTTCGTCCCTAGTTGCGTTTTAACGTTTAGTAGGTATAGATTTCTCAGAGATGAGACATTTCAACACATTACAATTTACAAAAGTTAGACATTTACAAAAGTATTTTATATGTTGTCCCGGATAACCAGCTACCATCATATAAAAATTCATCAAAATCGCTCTAGTGGTTTTTCCGTGATGCGGTACCAGGCAGACAGACAGACAAAAATTCTAAAAACTATAGATTCAGCCTCTGTATCGATAATAATGTCTATTACGATAAGATTTTCCAAAAAATATTTAATGTACAGATTCGGTTTAGTTACAATTTTATTATAGGTATGTATAGATAGACTAGTAGACCAGGGTTCGCGTTGTTGTGGCACCTTTGACTTCGTAAGTTAATTATTTATGACAAATTATGTTCAAATATGAAATAAATAAAATATAATTTGAAAAATTTTATGTTGGTTTGAACTTAATTTATCCCTCTCCGGACATGAAAATCTTTAATTTTGCAATGAAGAAACGGAATATAATCAGGATAAAAACTATCCTATCTTTTAAGTTGGAGCAAATCACAGATTTAAAAAAAAGTACTTTAAGGATAAGTAGTTTCAGAGTTCATCGCTTACCAACATCGTGACTAACGAATTTTATATAGGTAATATATTATGATTTAAAGTAAGATTGAAACGACAAATTTTCCTGTAAACGATATTAAGGTATTCTGTTGAGGAAATAAAAAAAACCTTTTAATGTTAGTAGGCAAGGTATAATCTGTTTCCTCTAAAATCTATATAGGTACATAATATAATTTGAAATGTCTATACTTAATGATTTTGTGTCAAGTAAAAAATTATCTTATTTCGACTAATCTATTATCTTGTGTACGAAGAACGTACAACAAAACAATAGGTATATTTTGTTCTTCAGTTTCAGAGGGTGGTGCATAAAATTAATGTTAAATAAGCAAAGTATTACAACTAAGTACAACGCCAATGCAAGGCAATTTTTTTCAGTTATGCGGCCATTTTACATCTGCAGTTCCGCAGTTAATTTATAAATAAAGTGTACCGAGCACTTCATTTTGTAGCACTAGCTATTTTAAGTTAAACGGCAAAAATAGCAACCAACTAACTTAGTATCCACATAATTAAAGGTAAAAAAAAACTTGAAAAGCTCCGAAACGATCTCGCACAAGCCGCAATTTCTATAGACGTTTTAAACGATAAAATTTACTAAAACTCATTTCGTACTGGTGTAAATTACAGCCAGCGGCGTCTAAAAGGGTTCGTTTTCAAAGCAGCGCTCTAAAGAAACTAAAAAATAAATCTGAAAAGAAATAAAGGCCGTCTCATCCGCCATGCTGATTTTATGCAACGAAAGGGTTGGGAAAGGTTTTAAGTGGCACTTTAACAGGAACCGCCCCGCGGTACGCATTTGTTGGCAAAAAAAGAAAAAATATGGCCGCCACTACAACATGCATGATATTGAGATGTTTCTTACACACTCGTCACCTCCTTTAATCTTCTAATTACTACCAGCGGAATTCTGGATGACACTTTCTGGGATCATTTCGAACAATGGTGCTCACAAATAGTGGGTATTGCGATTTAAGGTATATATATACGTATGTTTGTGCATTGTTGGTAATCAAAGAAAGGTTTAAAAACTTGCGGAATAGAAAATATAAAGAATCGTTTGATAAATTGGCTGTTATGTTAAAAATTACTGGCATCATTTCGCACTAGGAAAACAATGTTTTTATATGGGTTAAAGATGGTCTTATCCCTTCGACTTAATGAATAAATAGAGAATATATAGCTGCTACTACGTCACTTCAACCTACGCCTCGTCTACATTTCAACGGCGGTTACGTAGTTACTTTATTTCGTATCTCAGGTGACAACATGATCAACAAGTGTAGATACGCTGGATAAAAAAAGATAATAGCAATATCATAATATATTATGTAAAAGATACCTTCTGGTTATTCAATTAAAATATAATTTAAAGTTATTTCTTAATAATTCCCTAGATCTTAATCTGCATTATCTTATGTGACAGTGGAGTAAAATATGATATGATAAAATATACAATACAGGTAATTTTTATTGTGTTGTTATCACTTCTTTATATCCCATTGGGCTGTCGATTTATTAGCGATGTCGATAAAGAGGCACAACACGATAAGGTGCCCATAATAGTGATTTCCAACATATTCCATCGACGTTTTAAAAGAATGACCTAGTATTTATCTGTTTGTTGTGGTCACGCTTCTAAGTGCTCCGCGAGCAATTGTCCAGACAATAAATACACTTTGAAACGTGCGTCAATTTATTATTAGTTATACCCACTTTTATACTTTTGTCATACGACCTTGCACTAAACATCAATTTAAGTAGCTCATTAGAACGTTTTCGATCTAATTCAACAAAATGTGGGCAAAAATACTTTGCTGTTTGATAGTTGCCGTCAGTACAGTGATTGCGGACGATGTTTTTGAAAAAAATCTTAAGGAAAGAAATTATTTACTGCAAAAGGAGCTTAAGTTAATGTTAGGGAGTGATATAGTGTTAAGTGATAATGAGGAGCAAGTGAATAAATTGTTAATGAAGCTTAAGAACAATGAATTAGAATATGGCTTCAATTATCCGCAGCATTTTAATTTTTCTAAACACTTCTTCGAATATAAAGATGAAGTGAAAAAATCTGAATTATTTAAGCTTATCCAAAGAATGCCTAAGGGGGCAGTTCTTCATGCACACGATACAGGTATTTTAGGCCCTGACTATGTTCTCTCAATCACTTATTGGGATGATTTGTACGTATGTTTTGAAGAAGAGAATATTCTCTTTTTGTTTTCACGCAATGTCCCCACATCGTCTTGTGAAACAGTATGGCAGGTCATGAAAGAAGCTCGATATACATCAGGGAATGTTGAAAAATTTGATGCCAAATTGAGAGAACATTTTACCTTGGTTGTTGAAGATCCAAATGAGATATATACTGATATTAATGTAGTATGGTCGAAGTTTCAAAAATATTTCATTACAACCACATCCCTATTCACCTACAAACCAGTATGGGAACAATATTTTTATGACACATTAAAAGCATTAAGAGCAGATAATATTATGTACTTAGAACTTAGAAGTGTACTACCTACTCTATACGATTTAGATGGAAACGAGTATGATACGCTTGATACAGCTTTTTCATATAAACAAGTCTTAGACAAATTTAAAAATGATTATCCAGACTTCTACGGCGCTAAGCTTATCTACGCTCCATTAAGGTATGTTAATGTTAAAACTATTGAAGAATATTTGAAAGTGGCCAAAAAATTACAAAACAAATTGCCTGATTTTTTAGCAGGATTTGATTTAGTTGGCCAGGAAGACTTGGGTGTGCCTATTAAAGAGTTTTTACATGTTCTATCGAACTCGCATAAAGATATCAATTATTTCTTCCACGCTGGTGAAACAAATTGGTATGGAACAAGTTCTGATGAAAATATAGTAGATGCAATTGTTCTTGGTACTCGTCGGATTGGACATGCCTTTGCTCTCGCTAAGCATCCTGTTTTGATTAAAGAAGTGAAAAAACGAGACATTGGTGTGGAAGTGAATGTGGTTTCAAATTCTGTGTTAAAGTTGGTCGATGATGTAAGGAATCATCCATTAGCTATCTTTTTAGCAAATAACCTACCTGTGGTGATTTCGAGTGACGATCCAGGAATGTGGGAAGCTGAACCTTTATCGCATGATTTTTATGTAACATTTGTTGGTATCGCAAGTCGGCATGCTGATTTGAAGCTTTTGAAGAAATTAGCACTTAATTCGTTGTATTACAGTACATATCCGAATAAAGATAAAATAATTTATGAGTTTGAAATAAGATGGACGAAATTCATAGATTCCATTTTACAAAATTGTGCATCGGTACATTAGAAAACTCTATTAAAAATTATTTTTTTATTTACTTTACTGTTTTTATTGTTGGATTCGAGTAATCTCACTTGTTTTGTTAAAAATAAAAAGAATGTTTAGGAATTTATGTTTATTTCATAAATGTAAACATTTCATATATACATTTTTTTATATTGATAACGGATAATATTTTAAATAAGGATTTATATATGTATCCATGTTGAATTGTGAATCGTATAAAGCACGTTTACCATATGAGATAATAGCAAAAGATTATCCAAGTTATGAAATATCTAGGTTGTAATAATACTGTAATAATATTGTCTTTATTTTTATTTCATAATACACTACTATATTCTTATCTTATCTTGTTGTCAGATATAATCTTTAAAAAAAGGTGGTATGATTTATGCCGTGTGCCTAAATAATATGCTAGTATCATATCACCTTTATCCTTATCAGACTTGAAAGAAATTTACATATCTGAATGTTCAATAAAAAAAAAACATGAGAGATATTCGAATCCGCGCCCTCTGGTGTATTAAGTAACGAAAGATTATTAATATAATCAACTTGCGTTATATCAATGACCTGTTAAGTATATCGTTTCCAGTAAGTTTCGTTATAGTTAACTCCACAGTTCGATTCCTATTCTTTATCCTGCGACACAGAAATATGTCAAATTTATTATTTTTCATTGTTTGAGAAAGTTCGAACCATAAACTGAAATTTTGAAGTCACATACACGAGTATTAAGTAATTGTATACTTTATTGTACACCAAAAGAAAAAACATAAACATAAAGAAAAGATGCACAGCAAGCATCCATATCGCTGCCAGCGATTTCTTCTAGGCAACCTTGAGATGGAGGAGTAAGTTTTCAAAAAGTCGACAAGCGATGTAGCTATTTGTATAAATATATATAATTAACATTAACATGTATGTATGTATGTATGTATGTATGTATTCAGCCCTTTTTAACGTCCCACTGCTGGGCACGGGCACTCCCTTTAGTAGGTACAAGGGGAATTAGGCCATAGTCCACCACGCTGGCCAAGTGCGGGTTGGTGGACTTCACATGTCTTTTGAAAACTTGCTAGGTTCTCTCAGACATGCAGGTTTCCTCACCTTCACCGTTAAGACAAGTGGTAATCATGTTGGAAATGATTCGCACATGAAAATATCAGAGATGTGAGATTCGGAATTTGAACTCGCTTCACTCGGTTTCCCAAGCGAGCGCGTTACCACTGGGCTACCACTGCCTTGATTACATTAACGTATATAAATATATTTAGCTATCTATAGTTACTTCTTCGTTTACGACATTCACAGCAAGTACTATATGCTACTTACCTCTATTCTTTGCTTTCTTCCAGTTATGAAATAATCACAGCAATCCCGAAATTCTCTTAAAGTCCGGGCAGACAACTACTGTAGCTAGAGTCTCAGATTCAATGTATTTCTTTAAATTAGGGTTTATTGTACTGAAATGTGATACATTAAGTGTCTAAAAGCATTAAGTAATATCACAGATCACATAATATTAACTAGGTAATATTATACTAATTTTTTATTAGTCTGTTGGTCGGTTAATTAATATTATTTTTTATATAGGTTACAATAATTTTGTAACCCAGGTTTGATGTATTACGAGTTAGTAGTATTATATATTTATACTAGCGAGTCACCCTCGTTCCGCTCGGGTTCGTCCCTAATTACGTTTTGACGTTTAGTATAGATTTCTCAGTGATGAGATATTTTCCCAAAATAAAAAGTATCCGGGTGGATAACCAGCTATCATCATACCAAATTTCATTAAAATCCCTCCAGTGTTTTTTCCGTGATACCGTAACAGACAGACAGGCAGAGAGACAAAAATTCTAAAAACTATAGATTCGGCCTCTGTATCGATAATAATGTCTATTTCAATAAGATTTTTCAAAAAATATTTAATGTACAGATTCGGCTCAGTTACAATTTTATTATAATATATGGACTATATAAATAATATTAATCGAATCGGCAAGCTCCAACGAAGTATCTACCTAGTGCCTAATGATTTAAATTACTAACCTTACAAAATCAGGTTTATTTCAAACGTGTTAAATTACACATGCGATGTTCCGGCTAATTAGGGATTTTCACATCTACTAATTAGAGTAATAGTTTGTAATCGCTTCGTTTAACTGTTTCGGTGTTAGTTGATGATGATCGTCGCAAATGACGCGTGAGAGCGAGGCGCCTGATGAAATTAATACTATAAATTTGTTATCTTCAACACGGTGTAAGAAAATAAACTACTTTTTTTAACTGTTTTTTGTCATATAGTAGTAGCGAAGTGTCAGCTGAATCAAATAAATAAATATTGTGTGTGATCTTTGTCCTTTAATCCCATAAATATTATAAATGTTAAAGTTTGGACGGATGTTTGTTATTCAATCACGCTGGAACGGCTGAAAAAATCTGGATGAAATTTGACAAAGGGATAGATTACAGTATGGAATAGCACAAAGGTTGTTTATCCCGGAAAAAGTTACGGCTCCCGTGGGATAGATTTGTTTTTGATTTTCACTAGGAACGAACCCGAGCGAAGCGAGAAACTCAACAGTTGCTCTTTTAAAATAATATTTGTTTACAATATTGTAATACAATAAATTATCTACTTATCCTACGTGAGATCCAACCAGACATTAGTGATTAGTCCCACAAATTGACACCTACGAAATATTCCGTTCTGGTGTAATAAGCTTTATTCAATAATATATATTTTAATTTTAGACCTAAATAGTTTAAATGGCATGCTCAATATTACTGTGGAATTCTATTATATACATGCATACCTACGTATTACCTTGGCCCATTTAAAATCTATTCACTTTTTGAAGGTGAAAGCTAGGCGTTATCAGTTTATCAATATGTTTTATTATTACTTTACGACATTAAACTTCATCTTACAAATTACAAAACTACATGTTACGTGTAATGAAACTGTGACAAGGGTTTTTTGTTTTTTTTTTGTCAATAATTTTTCAAAACGGTGAAAGTTTTAACATTTTTTTGTGTACGTGTTTTCGCGAGCATTATTAGAGAATAAGTAATTGGATTTCAATGGGACACTTCTTAAAATCTAAATTAAAAATTATACTTAGTTTTTATTTCAATTCGATCTGACAATATATTATATACTAGAATTGCCAGCGGCTCCACCCTAGTTCAGATGACTAAAAACCAAATTCTTAGGTTTTACATTAATATGTACTGTATACTAATGTATACTCTTACAATGCAGTTTGTGTATTTTTCTCAGAAATGACATATTTTCCCGCAATAAAAAGTATCCTATATGTTGACCCGGATAACCAACTATCACCACACCGAATTTCATCAAAATTCCTCCAGTGGTTTTCCGTGATGCGGTGACAGACAGACAGACAGACAGACAGACAGATGTATGTATAGACTATAACATTATCTATATTTTTCGAACATACGATTAATTTTTGTATATTAATATAAATTGAGACGGAACATTTGGTTTAGTTTTTTATTTAAATTGAAGTTATATTTCGATTATAGCTAAAATGGGGTCGTGAGTTCGATCCTTACAGCTACATTAATTGGACACTGAAATTATTATGTAAATATAAATTTTATCGCCATCATATCCAGTTCACTAATTACATGTCGAGAGGGCATTGTGGTTGTGTTAGGTACATTACGTACGTTGTGCTTATCTAAAATATATTTTTAGGTATACTTATTAGTAAATAATATTTTTATCTTCCGAAATATTTCTATAATATCAATGTAATCACTTAATAAATTTCCACAACCATAATATAATTTATGTATACATATAATAAAAGTGTAACTGATCGTCTGTACATGGAAGATATTTGAGAAAGACTATTATTGGGGGTCTTTATTACCGCAATAGAATCCAAAACAATGTTTTAAAGAATTTTTGTCTGTTTGTCTGTGCGTTTTTGCGCGCTAATCTTAGAAAGAGCGGAACCGATTTGGGTGCGGTTTCTACTAATGTATTGTGGTAAGCTTCACTTAACATTTAGTGTTTGTTTTATTTCAATCGGTTAGTAAATAAAAAAGTGATGTCAATTTAAAGAATCACCTCGTGAGTTGCCAATCTATAGGTACTTAATATTATAAAGAGGTAAAGTTTGTTAGGTTATGAGACTGAGTTTGTGACGTTGTAAGGGAAAATCACTGGATCTACTGAACCGATTTAGATGAAATTTGGTAAGAAGATAGTTTGAGAACCTGGGAAGTAGGTACATAGGATTTTATCCTGAAAATGGGGATGAAAGTTTGTATTGGGAAGCAAACTAGGGACGAACCCAAGCGAAGCAAGGGTCTGTCGCTAGTTTTTAATAAAGTTTGTATATAATTCAAGAATATCACACTGACGCTACCGACTGCGCATCGTTCGCTGTCAGTACCTATTAGGTTTCAACTATTTTCAACGGGTGTTAGAGCTAATTGGTGTCAGATAAATTTATATTCTGCACCTGGTACTTATATAATGATGCTATTCGAATTTAATAGGCTTCTTAGTTTAAGAAAAGGTTTCATTACCTTTTCTTTTTCATTCAGTTTCATTAAAGTGATAATTTTAGGCATAAGTTTGGAGAGAGGCCAGCCATCCCTTATTCTTTTTTCACTCTATCTGTACTTTTCGTTGCATTTTAGTATAAATATATTACCCATTCGACCGTTTCAATCACAAGAATATTACTAGCGACTCACCCTCGCTTTGCTCGGGATCGTCCTTGGGTCCATTATATTTTTTTTGAACGGAACCCTAACTCTTTTACTGAAATAAAGGTAGCCTATGTTACTCCTTATAACATCAACTCGTGCCAGTGAAAATCCCGTCAAAATCGGCCCAACCCTTTCGGAGATTAGCCGAAACAAACAGACAAAATTTTAAAAAATTGTGTTTTTCTTATAAACACCGTATATAATTCCATCATTTTAAAGTAAAAAGTAAAAAGCTGTTGTTTTGACATTACAAACAGACACTTCAATTTTATTTATCTGTATAAATGTATATGAAAGTGTATTACGCAAGGGTGTAACGAGTTTAAGTAAAATATGTATCTTATTTCAGCTTGATTGAAAAAGTACTAAAAACAAGTATTAGTACTATGGATATTATACCCCACTCGTATTAACAAAATAAGTTATCATACAATGCTCTAAGTAAAGTGCAATGGATACAATGGATTTTTATTATCTTAATCGATTTCGAAAAGGAGTAGAGCTACGTTTTTTTGTGTTGTGGTGTTTATATTACCAAACGTGAATCGATGTTAATTTTTTTTGGACTTATTCTCCCTATAGGATGCGCCCGTATAAATTTCAAAAATAATTTTACTAATAAATATAAGAGTTTAGATGGATGTTTCAATGTTTGTTACTCAATCTCGCCAGAACGGCTGTACGGATCTGGATGAAAGGCACAGAGATAGATTATAGTCTGGAATAGCACATAGGTAACTTTTTATCCCGGAAAAACGTACGGTTCCCGTGAGATAGATTTGTTTTTGTTTTTTGAGAGGCGAACACGAGCGAAGCGAAAATGAACTCTTATAATCTTCGTTCGGTAAGTGATGTTCTCCTAGCCGATTCCGGCCACGGCGGCCAATCTCAATGAGATTAGCCAACTGCGCAGGAGATATTATAGTGCTCGAGTGTACGCGCAGACACAAGTGCACTCTCTATCCCTATCACTCTCATACTCCGGTGGGACGACCACTCGACACGACCGGTGAGAGTTAAGGCGCAGGACCGACGGCTTTACGTGCTCTCCGAGGCACGGGGGCGAAACACCGCCAACTTCCCAACTCCGGGCTGTTACTGAGACTTACTATACAGGAAGACTCAATAACTAAACTTGGCCCGACCCGGGACTCGAACCCAGGACCTCCGGGTGTGCAGCCGTACATGCTAGCCACTACACCACCGAGGCAGTTAAAGTTCGTTAGTTCGTTCGGTAAGTACTAAGAAGTTAACAACAAACGGATTAGCTTTATAAATATGAATTTAAAAATTTATAGGAGATTTTTTTGTTGACATTGCTATTATTTTGTAAGAGGTCACAAATTAGATTTTCACTAAGTAATTAATGTATTATAGTGATTTGTGAAGATATTTTACTAATAGATTAAAGTACAAATTTCTTTTAATTTTCCATATTTTATAAATGTAAAATTTGTTCAGATTGCTATATATTAATTTCACTTACTCAGGAGGTGCCATAATATTCGCAATTATTAAGTAGAATAATGCATTTTCTTATCGGTCTTACTAAGTGATTGTATCTATAATGAAACTACCATAAACACCATAAGTATCAATATTTTCTATACAATGTAGAAGTTTCATGATGTTGTTAATATCATATTTAACCCAATGGAATTATAATAGAGATCAAAACTAACAAATTAGTGATTTTTTTTGAAATCTATCATCAAATGACTGAGAAATCAATTTAAATTTCGGTTGTTCAAGTCGTGTGGCGTCACGAAATTATAATATAAATAAATCTTTCATATTTTTGTTATATATTACCTATTTAATTTTTTATAATCGATACATAAAAAATATTCGAAACTTCTCCATTGTGACAAAGCTGGTGAAGTATAACACTACTTTAGGAGCAGATACTCAACATATGTATGTACATTACCCATCGAATCAACTATAAGCTGAACGATAACTATAATATATAGCTAGATATAATAGATAACCCAATAACTCTTTCATACAATAACCTAAAACAAATTTTCAATTAAGAAGTAATTATAGAATTCATAGCCTGTAAGCAATAAAATCATAACAGCATCATAAATAACGTTATTTTTTCGATTTTCTGTTGTAATAGAAATATTATTTTGACTGCAATGTTACACTTGACCTTCTTAATCGCTTCATATAAATAAAATTTATAAGTAACTAGCATTGCCCGCGGCTCCGCCCGCGTTTAGATGACAAAAAACCCAATTCTTAGGTTTTACATATTAGTATACTCTTACAATACAGTTTTTGTATTTTTTCTCAAAATTGAGATATTTCCCCGCGGTAAAAAGTATCCTATATGTTGACCCAGATAACTAGCTATCATCATATTAAATTTCATCAAAATCTGTCCAGTCGTTTTCCCGTGATGCGGTAACAGACAGACAGAGAGACAGACAGACAAAAATTCTAAAAACTATAGATTCGGACTCTTTATCGATAATAATGTCTATTTCAATTAGATTTCCCAAAAAATATTTAATGTACAGATTCGACTTAGTTACAATTTTATTATATGTATAGATATTATATATTTCTACAAAATAAATAGAAAAATAAAACAAACCTAAGCGATTGAGTGACTTTAATGTTATTATTCTGTAATTAGCTTTTTTATCAGTTTTCCTTGAATGCGTATTTATTTAATATTTTGAATTAAATATATATTAATATTAAAACGAAATATTTGTGTGTTTAAATACAAATAAGATATTGAATTTACTAAATGTAGCTTATTCATTGGTACGTCAGTGATAATACTGTTACAGTAATTTTATTGTACATTTATTAATATAATTGATTTTAAAATAACGTATTTACATACAAGTATACTTATTATTAATATATAATAATTAAAATAATCTATCTGTACGTTGTAACGACGTCAGTAATAAACTGGTTCCATTGTTCGTGAAATTGTCTAAACATTTTTAATTTTCCCCCACTGTCCAGTGCGCTGTATTTAATAGAATTAATAACTAATTGTTTAAGCAAACGTAAATCCGCTCGTTTGCTTGCAACACCTACGAAAGTAATATAAAAGTCGTGGGACAAAGGGTCCGCGCCCCACGCCCCTGGATCATCACTGGACAAAACCACTGGTAGCCCGAAAGCTAAGTATGCAGCTAAAGGATGATTTCTCACATCACTTACCAACGATAAAACAACATTTGATATTACATTCACTTCAATCGCAATATCTTTTGCCCGCACAGCTGCCATCAATGCGGGATGTTTTATCAAGCCGTATGCATGACCTATCCTCTTCGATTCCAACATAATAGCATCTACCAAGTTTTCGTCTGTAGGAGTACCGAACCAATTCGTCTCGCCGCCATGAAAATAAAAATTCATATCATTTTTAGCTTCTTCTAAAATTGGAAAAAAATCCAGTAATGTCTTGCCCAAATCCTCCTGTCCGACTAAATCGAAACCAGCAAACATATCCGGCAGTTCCTTTTGTATTTGACGACCTATTTCAATAACCTCGCGCACTTGTGACTCGTTCTTTGCACGGTTTCTCGTCACTATGAATTTAATTCCCATAAAATCAGGGTGTTCTTCTCTGAATCTTTTGGCTACACGATGGAAAAGACGTGGCATGTACATAAAATCGTGAACAGTACCATCTAATTCATAAAGATTTTGCAATCCACTCCTAACTTCTATATACATGACTTTGTCTTCATAAAATTCTTTCAAAGCCTCATAAAGGTAAATTTCCCGCACCGGCCTATATCCAATTAACTGTTTTATGTTATGGCACACCTTATTAAATTTATCCCATACAATATTAATTTCACGATGTAGATATTTCTCATCTTCAGAATATAAAGTGAAGTATCGTTTCAAACTGGCATCAAAAGAGAGGATGTCATCTGCATTGTTCCTTAGATTACTTATTAATTCCCATTTAGTCGCACAAGGCCGCTGGGGGACGGTGAGTGAGAAGTGTAAATATAAATCGTCGTTCACAAAACAAGCGTATAAATGATCTTCATACGTCAATGCCAGTAAACGGTCAGCGCTCAGCATTAAAGAGCTGTGGATGTGTAACGCACCTCCTTTAGGCATCTGTTTTATAATCTGATACACTTTAGAACTATTAATGTCATCCTTGTAAGTGAAGTAATGCCTCGAGAAGTTAAAATATTGGGGATTATAAAATGATTCGTTGAGCTGTTGGTGTTTATGTTTCATCAATATGCTATTAGCAACTTGCTCATCTTCGTTTAGCGTAATTTTCCCTCCAACTTGCAAAGTCAACTCTTGCTCTAGTAATAGATTTCTTTCAATTTTATAATCGTTTATGGTCTTCGTGGCGATGTGATGGATACACAGTAGAAGTAGGGCACTTTTAGATATATTACACATAATATCGTCTACTATCAGGCGGGTCACAAACTGTCATTCTACGGTCACTGTCTCGGACAACTGAGGCGTACTGCGGACACGGTATGTTTATATAGCACTTGTGCATTGAACGCTTGAATTTTATTGATTAATGAATAAAATTTTTCAAATTCAACAGCAGTTTAGACAACCGTTAAGACAAATTTAATAATTAAATTTCATTAGGTAAAAATAGTTAATATTCATTAGGTAAAAATAATTCTCATACGCATTTTTTGTATATTTTTTACAACCTATCAAGTTTATCTATCTATACTCTATCTATACATATAATAAAATTCTAACTGAGTCGAATCTGTACATTAAATATTTTTTGAAAAATCTTATTGTAATAGACATTATTATCGATACAGAGGCCGAATCTATACATTTTAGAATTTTTGTCTCTCTGTCTGTCTGTGACCGCATCATGGAGAAACCACCACAGGGATTTTGATGAAGTTTGGTATGTCCCAAAATATTTATTTTTTTATTTATTTACTAGCGACTCACCCTCGTTTCGCCTATGTATCCTATGTCCTTCCCAGGGTCTCAATCTATCTTCTTACCAAACTTCATCTAAATCGGTTCAGTGGATCCAGAGATTACTACCTATAACCTCACAAACTCACAAACCTTACCTCTTCATAAAATGAGTATAGATTAGAATGCTAATTATTGATTAATATGTTAATTAGATAATTATTCTGTCATTGCTGCAGTTCGGCGTATTTTATCTACATCTTTTAATAGTTGGCAAATTGAATTTCTTTCAATATTCAATTGAATCAAATTAAATTATCCAAAACCAATAAAATAACACAATATTTCAAAAGTTTGGGGCTAGAAACTTATTGTAGATCACACTACAAATCTATTATTTTGTCATTGAATCGGGTACTAATAATGCTTAGAATGGAACGGCGCCTGCAAAGAATTATTTTTTCGTTGGTAGGTCAGGAGGCCTCGCGTCGATCGCGGGGCCCTGGGCACTCGTCCAGAGTGCCAGTCGAAAAGAGGGGCCTGAAGATGAGTTAAACTTGAACTCATGGGTTACACTTAAGTAGGGCAAAATTAATTGTAATAAAGAAAAAAAATCTTAAAATACATATTATATAAAGTAATCATTGTTTTGGGTTCTATTACGTTAATAAAGATCCTCAACAATAGTTTTTCTCAGATATCTTCTATGTACAGACAGCGATCAGTTACACTTCTATTATATGTATAGATTTTGTATGTATATTACGCGTTATCTTCGTTAATTATTAACTAAATGAATATTTTAATTTACTTCAAGTCTTGTGCTGACATAGAAATATAAGGTGAAAAGGTACCTACTTACAAATTCATATATCTCTTAGTCCATATATCTCTTGAGTTAAAAAGAAAGTATAAAAAACGACGTCCATAAAATAGTACATAATTATATAATAATACTAGGTAATAAATAAAAATTAAAACTTTTTTTTTAATTTAGATACGTTACCTATAAAGTAATATTTCTAAGCTAGTACGTTGACTGCTCGCAACACAGTTACGTAAAAATACGAAGCAATTTTCTTCTCGAATGACTTTAGAAATCAATTATTTACATTTTTGTTATCAAATAGTAAATACCTGTTGTAAAAAAATCGTTGCAATATCTATATTAATATTATAAAGAGGTAAAGTTTGTGAGATTGTGAGTTTGTGACGTTGTAGGGGTTAATCTCTAGATTTACAGAAGCGATTTAGATGAAATTTGGTAAGAAGATAATTTGAGACCCTGGGAAGGTCATACGATATTTTTTATTCCGGAAATCATATTTTAAGGGGGTGAAAATGGGGATTAAAGTCTGTATGGGGAATCAAGCTAGCAAGTTATTTATATTTTCTACTATTTCTTTAAATAAACGATCTGTATTACAAAAGCGAGAATACTCGTAGTAGCAAAAACAGCTGAATCATGCTAATATTTTTGACATTGACATTTTTTTGGCGAGTTCCGTCTGTAGCCTATGCTTAATGCTTATGGAATTCTTTAGTCTTAGATCTAAAGTATGGCTCTCTATGGGCTTATACCAGTAAATAATACGCATACAATGCATGGTGTTTTTGATGCCGTAAATTAGTTTTAATCGGCTCGTTTTAAAGTTTGTGAAAATTGCCTAATCCATTATCCCATTAATATTATAAATGCGAAAGTTTGGTTGGATGTATGGTTACTCACACCAAAACGGCTGGACGGTTCTGGGTGAAAGGCAAAAGATTATAGTCTGGACTAGCACATAGGTTTTTTTTGGTTTATCTAAGTTGTTATAAGTACATACATATTACATAAAGCCGATGTTGTTTCACAATTTACAACTTACAATGATAAGCACCGCATGCATAATTAAAGAAAGTATTTTTTTTTAAGTAAATGTTAACAAAAATAATAATAATAAGAAAGTAGGTAAGATAATTAAAATAATAAAATAGCAGTACAAAGGTGACAAGATAATTTTAATTCACGAAAGTCGCCCTTTCGTTGACATTAATATTTTTTTTATTTTACTTGGGGATCAGAACATATAAAATATATATATATATATATATATATATATATATATATATATATATATAATATATATATATAAATATTATATATAAATATATATATAATATTTTCTTATATCGAATTTAATTGCACAATTATTAGCTAATCGACTAAGTATTGGAAAAGGCGAGTTAGCTCCAAGTACAGTTCTGCAGAGAGGAGGTGAGAAAGGAGAGATGGGATTTCAAGGACGTTTAAATGGTACGTTAAGTAGAGTTTGGGGACAACATTATAATGTCTCGATCGATCGTAATTAAAAAGAATTAATCTCGTAATTGAGCTAATATGTTTGGACGGTCACTACCTGCGGATATGATTTTAGAAAGAAAAGCAATATCTAAGACATCTCTACGTTCTAAAAGTGACTTCATGTTGAAGTGTGTCAACCTATTTTTAAATGATTTCTCTGTCTTCAAAATGCCTTCTGAGTGAGTAAATGAGAGGAATATGTGGAATTATACTGTCTCCAAACTCTACTGCAGTATACAAGAAGACCCCGTACGTAACTATTAAATAATGTGATTTTTGTATTGGATTTGGGCTACTTTTTGTCCAGGAAAAATATAAGGATCCCGTGGGCGGGCGAAGCAAGGGTAAGTTGCTAGTACAATAAATATAATAGCCACTAGTAATAAACATACATTTCGACTAAAAATAAAGCGATTTCATAAGAAATATTGGAGATAACTCTCTGAAAGTTATACTACAGAATTTGCCCTGGTCCAATATCAATAAATTTATTTGTGATATTTGAGGTTATACAAAAAATGCTTGGAAAAACACAACACTTTCACTTTTATTCAATTTCACGGACAACTTTTCCAATTTTTTTACTTATACATTAACCAAAATTAATCAAATTGACAGCATTTCACTTTTTAACCGACTTCATGTTTACTTAGAAACTAGAATAGGATTATATGATCTGTGTTTAGACTTAACAATAACAGTTCTCATACTCAGACCAAATAATTTTATTTGGTCTGAGTTCTCATAATACTTTCTTAAATTTAGGCGAATATCGAACATTTTAAATAAAACTATCTTTTCGGATTATTTCGGATGAAAGATGGTTTTATTTAAAATAACAGTTCTATTTACTTCATTGTCTGTAGGATCTTTAATTGGTCTTTAGTCTTAATCATGTGACTGTGGTCCTACGATTTGCCGATATATGTATGAATATGGACACCTTTTTAAAGACAAGAAATGTAAATATTAACAGTTTTTTTTTTAATTTTTGAAAAATTCTAAAAAATAATACCTAATTGGAATAACTTTCAATTATATGAATTAAAAAAATCATTAGGATATTTTGTATATTTTATTTTTATTTAAAATATAGGTATTTGTAAGTAAATGCGAAAGCGACATCTAGTAGATATTACAAAAACTACGTCGTAAAGTTATTATCGGTGCATGCGCAGCGTTCTTTAAGATTTATTTAGAATTTGTAAGCTCGAGCGCAACGTGGCGCTAGTATATTATTAACAGACATTTGTGATTTGAATAAGAGTGAAATTGTATTTTTGTATAGTAAAATATAGTAAGCATGAGGATCTATTATATAATAATTTGCTATAGATATCTACAATAATTGAGTATATATGAAATTAAGACTTCTAAATACATCTGTATAGTGCTTATTTTGTAGGTTACTTATGTTACATAACATTTAGTCGGCTAATTGAGACACTTAAGCATTGGCTATAATAATGTTTCAAAATATTTAAAATTTTACACACACATGTATGATAAATCTAGCTAGACTTATAAAGTACATTTTATCGAACATGAAAACCCTGCAAAATCTTAAAATTATAAAATAAAATTTCATAAAAATCTATAAATCCGGTTGTACCGCCATCCACCAGGTCCAATTGTAAATCTAAGCCATCCAGGGACAAACACACAAAAAATTTCATCAAAATCGGACTAATCGGTCCAGACGTTTAGAGGTTCAGTGACAAACACATGTAAAAAAAATATTTACATGTTTGGACAGGCCACCGTTTGTAGAGTTTGCTAGTAATAAAAATAAAAAAAATCTGGAACCCGACGTTAGCACTACATACTGGGTCCAGTACTGAATCTAAACCATAAAACTTACAAGGACTCACTCAAATACACACAAAACTTTAACAAATTCGGTCTAGTAGTTAAGGAGGGGTTCAGTGACAAGCAAACGTACAGAAGAAGTAAAAGCTTTTGATTAATAATACCAGTGGCATGAACGAATTAACCACGTGGTTTTCAAGTTATAAACACACAAGTCAGAGGCAGAGATTAGGACATATTAATAAAGCTACTAGTAAAATAAAAATATTCAGAATAAAAGATAAGAAAAGCAAAATAAGCTAAAATTATACTTTTCTTCAATTTTATTTAAACAGTTTGGATA